TAGACACTTTGAAAACAATGATTTAATCTGATTAACTGTTCAAAGCTCAGGATGACGATCTGTCTAGGACCTTTAAAAAAATATTGACGTATTTCTATAAACTCTGAGACTTGTTGTCGAATGTTTCGAACGTTCTTGACAAAAGAAAAGGTTCAATATTCTTGTACAAATAAATTATTTGAAAACTCGCAGCTGAACTGAGTGTACCCATCGCTGGGCGTCACGCAGCGATGCCTCGAGCGCCCGAATTTCCATCGACCTTCTCTCTCGTTCATTCCCCACCCGTTTTCGTACCCCTTCCTTTCATTACTCTTTAGTGTTACGTCTATCTCCATTCTTCTCTCCCTCCCTCTCCCCTTCTCTCTCTCTCTTCCTCTCCCTTACACTCGGCTCCCCACGACTCCTACGCTTTTTCCCCTTTTCTCTTCCGTCCCTCACGAGGCACAACGCTTCTTGCACGCATGTAATGCCGGAGCAGGGAGTGCACACTAAATTTTGGCGGACCAGGGACGTACGCGTCGATGTTCCATGATAGCGACACTATAGAATGTTTTGACAACTTGGACTATAAAAGATCGATCAACGGGTGTCACTTCCCACAGAGGGTAGAAACAAATTTCAAAATTTATCTTCTCATTTTAAGTTTTAGCCCATAATTTCTTCCATAGGAAGAACATATAGGCTCACACATTTTTGCACATACCTTTGAAATAACAATTAACTATAAAAACATGTATGCAATTTCCATTTACTCTTGTCTCCTTCTCATTACTTTTATCATCCTTTGGTGATAAATTTTTCGTAATTTTGAAATCAAATTTACATTTCGATAAATAATTTGGTTAAACAGAAGTGACAGCCTTTCGCGAACAAACTCGTGAGTCAATGTACGACTCTAGCAGTGGTACTAACCATCACGAATCATTGTTCCGAGAACTCCAATAATTCTTGCTATCTGCACGATAAATAACCCTCACCATCATTCTCTTACACACACAGTATTGTGCCCATGCAACAGTTTCTATGTATTGTCACGAAGAAGTGGCTCCAAACGCAGTTAATCGAAAATTAACAGTATCATTGAACACGATCAAGGTGACTTTCATACGTCCTTGATGCTCACAGAATCCATTTCGATCCATTCGATATCAGGTCTAGAACAAACAGAAACTTCGCGTCTCTTCCAACAACGGGGGATCTTTGACTGTAACAGATTCAGCTTTACACCTCCTGTTTAGTAAGCTTCACGGTCCCGTTTGTCCCTACCAGTTTCCCCAAAAACTCGTGGCTCGATCGATGCGTCGTTGTAATACCAAATAAAGCTCTCCCGTTAAACAGGGCATTGTAAGGCGAGTGGCGGAGCTCTGATTGGAAGCCTACTCAAACCGGGTCGACGGCAGTTCGCGCCACCTTTTCACCGTGCAGCTTGCTCGAAACATTGGGTCCGTTTATGTATTGTCGGAACAGAGGGAATGACGCGAGCCGTTCATTTCGTCCCGATTCACTCAGCCGCCAACCCGTAAATTTGCTGCCGTGACCTCGACTTGAACGCGCTCCCGTCGAGTTTGTTGCGCGCAACTAGCAGAGGACGCTGGGCCTCGTGTGCTCCTCTGGGATCGTCGAATGGCTGCAATTTCATTCGTGAATTCGACCTGGAGATATAGGGATGTGTTCGATTCGGATTCGATTATTTAGGAAGATTGGGATCTCTTGGGTAACAGGTCAACTGCCACGTGTAACATATATCTGGACACTAGAGCTAAGTATTAAGTCAGACTTAGTAAACTTTAGAGGAGAGCAAATGAAAGGTACAATAACCTTCTAATTGTGGAACCATAGTCCGAGTTCTTAATTGTTCTTAACCCACTTTTAAAAAAAATTTAATTAATCTACTTGCGTCTCATTGGTCCAAATAATACAAATATTCTTTTGAGTCTTAACTCCGAAATATTAAAAGCTTCTTTTTCTTAATGCTTGTATCTCCAAATACTAACGATTAAAAATTTATGTTGATAATAAGATAAAATTTTGTTAAATATTGTATTAAATGGCTATTCAGTAGATGATATTCTAGTGTGTTTGATTATTTCACTATATTCCAGCTTCTATAATATGATACTTCGTAAACTTTAAATTCAGTTTAGAAACTAGTGGATATAGAACAATTACGAGCTAGAGCGACTACTGAAAATGCAGGTACCCTAGCTGCTGATGTTCTAGTCTGCCAAGAGCCTGTGTTTGAACAGGAGAATGAGTAGAGGGACCTTTTCGAGCATCATAAAAGACTATACTCCTCAAAAAGTAAAAATAGTCTGCCAGGTTTTTCCCTTTTTTTTCCGTTTTTGAAACGGGACCAAGTCACCGGAAACCGTTCACGGTGCATCTACTACGGTCGGCCCTGCATAGTCCGCGCCCGATTAAACTTTCGACCAGCAGTGACGTAATCACGGTGGCCCCCGTGGCAACGAAGGCAACCATGCAACAACGATCCCCTCCTCCCTCTCCCTTCCACGTTGCGCGCGGTAGCGCGGCGTTCTTGCCGAGTGGCGCCACGTATCCGCGTTTCGGCCCTGGCACGTGTTAGATTAGAAAGTGGCGGGGATGCGTGGATACCTTAGAAGCGTTAGAGGGGGACATATACCGAGTGTGAACGAGGTAAAGAGACAGAGAGGCTAGAAAAGGGGTACATATATACATACACCCGGAATTGGGAGAGAGGGAGAAAGAGTCGACCAAACTAAAGAGACAAACTGTATGGTAATTAGAAAGAGATAGCCTGTACGCGGCGAGAGAAGAACTCGCAAGATATATAGAAGAGGGGGGCACGTAGTACCACGCGAACCTAATGTTCTAGCCTTAAGCAATCCAGTGCGCGCCCCACCCTCTACCGAAAAAGTCGAATCTTATTTCCCTCCTCCTCCACCAATCCAGGCTCCCTCCTCCACGAATTCGTCCCCCTCCTCCTCCTCCTCCCACCAACACGAACTTCCCTCTTCATCCACCGGCCCCTCCCACCCCAAAAAACCGGCGTCGTGGACTCACACTATTTCGTCTAACCGCATTTGCATCGGCACCGATGACCCATATTCACGGTTTCTTTCCTCCTCCGCGGGCGACACGGGGCACCACCGACGAACGTCTTTGATCTCTCTCTCTCTCTCTCTCTCTCTCTTTCTCTTTCTCTCTCTCTCTGTCAGTCGCCGGTGTGTTTTCGCTGCCTCGCGTATATCCCCCATCGTGTATACACGCACTGTCCTCCCGCGCCACCGCCTGCCTATATCTGTTTCTCTTGGTCGCTCGCACGTCGGTGCCGTACACGAAACAAAGACGAACGTGTGCGTATGGTCCGCTTCGTAAAACGAAAGAGGGAGACCCCACGGTGTAGATAGATAGAGAGGGAGGGACTGAGAGAGAGAAAGAGAGACCAAAGCACGACGACGGACAGTTACGCGTGATTCGTTCCTCGTAGCGGCGATGCGCGATGCAAGTCGGTGACTCGATTTCGGTCGGGTGAAACGTAGAGAAGAGACTCTCTCGGTCGGCCCCCCCATTCAGTGTGTACGCGACCAGTGTTTCCGATACAATCCGAAACGGAACATTTGCCCGGTTAGAGGTGTGGTTATATTTACCGTCGTGTTGTATATCCGTGATACATTCTCTCGTCGTTGTCCCCTGTGTTCCCCGTCCAAGGAGCTCGTTATCCACCTGTGCATCCCCGGTACACGGAAGACCAAGCGGGTCGGCGAACGCACCACTTTCCGGGGGATCATGTGCCGCTGGAACACGTGTGTACGGTAGACCAGTGCAGAGAGCACTACCGTCATCGTCAGTGAGTTTTGTCGCTGGGAACCCCGGGAATTATAAACAAAACCGGATCGTGTGAATTGAGTGGTGTGTCTGATCGAATAACAGATTCAACACACACACACACGCAACGGCCTGGGGGCGATCACAGGTTACTGTTCTTCTTGGGAGTTTGTTATTGCTGTTTCGAGGATCGTATGAATGAAGCCTGTTCGTGGACGTGTCAGTGCTGCTGCTTTCCTTGAGCTCGACACGATCGGACGGTAATACACGGTCCTGGGCATCGGTAGGTTTCGCTCTCGTGGCTTTTCTTTTTTTCCTTTTTCTTTTGGTTTATCGTGGACCGCGGAAATCCGGTAGAAGTTTCCATGGTACGAACACGGACGCGCGAGGCCCCGCGATTAGCCGGATGGACTATATACATACACTCGGTCATCGTCGATTCACGCGATAGATACTAACTCCACGAATAACACCGTTGAGATAATACGGGGCCGGCTGACGTTTTTACAACGTGTCCAGCCGGAGACGTTTTTTTCGCGTGCACGATCAGAGTTATCGGTGACATTGCAGAACCGTGTGGCGTGTATATTAGTAAACGTGTTCGGTATTCCGTTTGATGTGTTCGATCGTCTTACAGCGAAGAATGTGTGGATACAGTAAATCTTCGATGAGTACTCGAAGGGTTTTCGGTATTGACAAGGAGAAGTCTCCAAGTGAAGCGGTTACTTCTTTAATGAGGTTTGGCACAGTGGTAGAGCTTGGAATTCTGAAGCGAATGATATTTGTTTCAGATGCATATGGCCGTTAGTTTATAAAATATGTAATGTTCAGTGCTGAGACTGTAATGGGAAACGATGATAAAGACTCCCGTAGAAGATACAATTTGTCGTACAAATTGTATCATATGTAGGGCGTTCAACCCTCCGTAGGTAACGTGGGTCTTCCATTTTTCCAGAACTTTCCTCCGAATTTTTATTTTTTTAAAAAAGGTTTCACACACTTTACTTAACGAATGATTGTATAATGTAAAGACTTTGATAAGTGTACTAGAATTTTCAAATTTATTGAACGTGAAAAACAGTACAAAATTAGACTTGGATATAAATGACCCAGTTTGATAACGAAGGGTTAAGATGTGTGTCGCGTGTAGTTGGCTCGGTGATTGAACTGAATTGAATCTGTTTTCTGTACAGCTGGACGAACTGTTGGGCACGAGCGCGATCAGGAAGGAAAGCACATACACGAAGGTGGCAGTGACAGGGGTGGCGAAGGTCACGGGGTCGGGCCTAGGGGTGGCATCATGGACTCTCATCAGCACCAGTTCTGCCTCAAGTGGAATAGTTTCGGCAGCAACTTAGCGACAGCGTTCTCGAATTTGTTCAAAAGCGAGAGTCTGACCGATGTCACCCTATTCTGCGAGGGTAAGTCACAACATTCGTCATTACTATTTTTAATTTGAATTTTATCGTTCGAACTCTTATTGTACCACGTCGCGGAACACTGCGCCGATGAAGGCCCGAAACACGTTACTTTCGTTTGCTTTTGTTTAACGTGCCCACTCCTATTTCGAAGGTACAGTAAATTCCAGTTATTCGGGACACATCGGGGCTAGTGTCTTTTGGACCAAACCACACGACCGGACGCGTGGTTTCGCGAACGACACACGCGGCTTATCGCTGCGCGCGAATTTCCCGCGGTAAGCATCGAAGTCGCCGTTGGGAAACGGCGCGCGCGTGTCCTCCATGTCTGACCAAAGCATCGCCATCACTCCTTACTCTGCGCTCACCTGAGCGGTGGCGAGCGGGTGGGCGGGCGGTTGGGAGGGAGGGAGGGAGGCGGTGAGTGCAGTTGCACGCCGACGATTTGCAAACGGCGGTGCACGTACAGCACGTGGTGCTGCAGGCGAACTGCAGCAGAGCCAGTGGATTGGCCCGCCCCCTACCCCCGTTTCGCCCAATCACGCGGGGCCAGAGAGATTGGCTACGCTCCGGCGCAGAGTCAGTTCGCGTGCATGCGAATCTCTCTCTCTTTCTCTCTTGAGTTTTGCACATCGTGCGCGCGCGTGTCCGTCTGTGTGCATCGTCTGTACGCGGAATATATAGGCGAGAGAACTGGTGCGACGCGCGCGATTTCCCCCCCGTTCGAATGCAACAATCTTCCTCGCTGGTGCGAGAAACCGCAGTTCGCGGCGAACCGCGGTGCAACGCGCTCGGTGCATCTCTGTGCATCCTCTTGGGTGTCGTTTGTAGATCGAAACAGTGGTGTCTGAGTTTTGGGTGTTTAAAAGTGTGAAGTTTTTTAGTACGATCGATTGGCCCTCGCGAGCGGTGGTTTATTTACGGTGCGGAACGATGAAGGCGATTTTTACGTTTATCGCGGGCGTCGAGGTGTGTAACCGTTTATGCGGGGACGCGTAACTGTGACCCGTTTCCGGGCTAAAAATACTGCACGTGTGGACACGATGCTGCATCGTTCATTCATAATGTATTATCCGTGCGCATGTGCTCCGGTGCAACGGGTATGGTTGACTGTTTCTCTCTCTCTCGGTTGGAATCTCATTGGAGTAGATATGTTCTTTAACAGTTTCGTTCCCACTGGTGTCATATGGCTACGTATTCGAAACTACGAAATGAAATATTAGTAACGTGTATATTTCCATATCTGTGAGTGTGTAATAGTATCTTCAAGTCTTGAATAGATAGTGCGGCACGTGTGTGCATTTAAAAGCTTATCGGTAAAATAGGACGTTATTGGTCCTTTGTCCCTTTCGTTTAATATGGAATTCAAGTGCTGAGCATTGTTACGAATACAATAGACACTTACAAAATTCTAATTTTTTACAAATGTTTCAAGAAGGTCTGTTGATCGAAGATAAGAAAAATTCGGTTTTATTGTGTATAATAACAGTATAATGGGAATTATTATACATATATCTGTAATGAAAGTAAAAAAACTGTCAAATGGCAACGAATGAAAAATTGCATTAGACGGTTTTGAAATGTTAAAATGTTCTTGCGAATCATTTATGTGTTATGTAGTATACAGAAATATACAATGAAATATTTCTCTGGTAAGTTTTTAAATAATGTGGGAATGAAAGGGTTAATCGGGTTGGGGCTGCATCGACAAAGGGGTCACGGTGAGGATGCATGTGCGTCTTTGTGACTCGATGTGTTTTCTTTTTTTCGTCCGTGCTGAATAATGTGCGAGGAGTTCGTGACATTGAACCGTGAACAATCGAACGGAGTTTAATTAGCCGGAACGAGCGTGATTCCGCTGCGTTCTCCGCCGTGTCGATTATGCATTCAGGGTATGTTTCTTGGGTGTCGGTGTTTCGAATGGTAAAGCCGATTGGATGCATCGTTAAAAATTTCGTTGACGTAGTAATGTACGGTGATTTCGGTAGAATTTAGTCAGTGGTGTGATTTTCCAGCGTGAATTCACTGTTTCTTGTTATTGGGCGCTGAATCGAATATAAAAAGGGGACTACGAGAGAATGGAAGTTATTAATTTGATTCGATGCATGTATAACGCACAACTGAATGAGACACAACGAAATTACCAAAAATGAATGAAGTTTTTATTTTTAGTTTCATGAATATCTTAATTATTGAAATAAGGCTTTCTTCTGGCACTGGTTCTTGTAAGACAGTCTTTAAAAGTAGGACTTTGCATAAGTATCCGTAGGTAATAAACATTAAATAGTCTGTGCAAGAATTTCATTCCCACCTTTATTCGATTGATCGTGTATTCGTGCACATACACATTTATACATTGAAAGCGAATATATCCAAAACTTTTCGTCTTGATAACTAAACTGCGAATGTTATGCATTTTTCGTAAATATCAGTGCGCGAAAAACAATACAGTAAAAAGTTTTCCGAAGATTAGTATGAAGTTTACTCTACCTTAGACCCAAAAACAACCTTTAATAAAAGAAACAAATCCCTGACATACTTTCAGTTCCGTAAATTTATCTATAAAAATCTGAATTTTCATAAAGATCCGCCGTCTATCAATAATAGATGTACCTATAAGTATACGTAATCAACTATTTTTTTCGATAATCTATAAACATGATTCAGAGTCAAAATATTTCCAATCTCCTTCCTTTTTTTTGACAATAGCGAACGTTATCGGGGAAAGCAAACACTGATTTCCTACGAAATAAATATTAAGCATAACAAAATACGGTGGATTATTTATCGATATGCAGAGCTAATAATTTCTAGGTTCCATTTTTAGACCCAGTCGTTCCCACGAGTCGCGCCGAAATTTATCGTTCCGTGCTTCGTCATCCGTATCAAACGCATCCCAAAAAATTACACCAAGGCCCCTTATTCTTGTTCGCATGCGCCGTGTCAAAATTTACACACGCCTGCAGCAACGAGCCGCGCGCGATCGAGCAACGTTGTCGGGAAGCCACGGTTACGGCGTCAATAAAATTTCGGCACGATTTATCAGGCGGCGCTGATAACAGGAGGGGGCACTGTACACCAACACGTGGGCCTAGATACTCGTTACATTATCAGCCGCGCTGAATAAACAAGAATGTGCAATTCATACTCGGGGCACCGTTTTTAGACACTTCGACTAGTTGGAGAGTTAAAGTTCGCCAAGCGATTCGCGATTATCTTTGCTAGCCCCCGAGGAGAGGACACTTCCGAAACGATACTATTCGCGGTTCCTACGACGTGATACGAATTTTCGGTTCGCGCGTGCAACGGCTCGTCCCCCTGCCCTCTGTCCCACCAAATCTCGTCCATCTTCGATCCTCCTAACGCTTTCACCTGGGCCACGGGTACGTTACACGCGCGTGTCCCGATTTCACGAAAACCGCCTCGGCTTCGTTTCTTTTTTGTTCTTTGTCGAAGGGAAAGGAAAAGTTCCCATCTCCTGGAATACCTACCAGCGAAGGCCGCGTGTCTGAGGGCGAAAGTCGACGAAAAATGGTGTAGCTACGGTTTGTCGCCTCGAGTGAGTGGCTCCTTTCTTTTGCGACAGAACGGGTGGAGGGTGAGAATCTGAAAGGAAGGTCGGGTTGTAGGAAGGGTTCAAGGACGACGGGGAGGTTTCGTTGGAAAGGGAGGAGGAGGAGGATGGAGGGCGGAGGAGGGAATCGTGGTTGAGCAACGCGTGCGCGCGCTTACGTTCGTCTAACGATAGAAAGTTTCGTGGCTGATCCCTACTTTTGCAAAGGACTCGTCCTAGTTCGGTTACGAATGTCTTTTCGGATCTTCTTTACGAGCGGCGAAGTTATCATGAATGACATACGATGTTCCCTTTTTAAGAATGAATCGACTATAGATCTAGAGCCCAGAGTATATTAAATGATAGTTACTAAATTTTAGAGGAGAGTAAGTCAAAGGCGTAAAAACCTTGTAACTTTGGAACCCTTTGGTAAGAATTCGACGGGGATCACTACCTTCGAGTTATTGAATGGATTTAAGACAAAATGCGTAGAAATGATGGTCATTGCATTAAGTCCCCTATGGACTATACGTTGTTTGGTTTGAAACAAAATATGGAATTAATATCATTTTTACAGTATTATATTACAAACTAAAGGACTTAGGACGAAATAATTTTTATCATCGAAAGCAGTGGAAAATGTGATACGGAAAACATGTAAAATATTATTTCTCAAAGAAAGTATACTTAATACAGTCTGGCTCTGCGGTCCAGAGATGCTTTTGTGACATCACCATTTTTGTAGATCGATCCTGTGAGAATCTGGTTGTGCACAGAAACTTGTTTGTCCTGTTAATGGGTTCCGTATCTTGACTCTTTAATAAAATATCCATTAACACTAGGGATTACCGAACCCGTCAAACTGACTGATTGCAGGTTTCTTATTTTAGGAACTGTGAAATGTATTATGGTCCTTTCGGCAGAATTTATGTTGGCTGTTAATTTACTATACATTCTATGTTATACTATATTATGCTAAATATTACTATATCTTATGTATATTACTATATTATACGGTTTAATATACATTCTGGTAGATATAGTGTAATAATAATGTAGGAAGTTCTGAAGTAATTCTAAATTTATAATTTAGCACTAAAATACTAGGTTGTTCGGAATTATTATTTACTATTTATTTACTATTTTTTCTATAAATTCTTTTCGTTTTTCGATTAATTTCATTGTACCAATTGTATTAAACTTCGATTGTTTTAGCTAAAGAATATCTTTGACCTTCCTCCAGATGGATTTTGTTTCAAAATAAATATTGTTTTCAAAATTTTCTTCTTATCGCTGAATATTCCAGCGAAAAAAATAATGAGGGCACTGTTGCTCGAAATGCTACAAACTTTCCGAACGATCGGACATATTACTCGGAAGCTATTCTCTGCAGCCACATCGACTCGTTAAGAAACCGGTGGATTACCACTTTTATTCGTACTCCTAATGA